ACCGCAAGGGCCATAAGGACCTACGTAATTCCAATAGGGGTTTGGGCTATAGCCATGCAGGGCTTGTGAGGGGATAGTATTCGTAGTCATTCGGCCCTTTACTTTGCGGAATAGGTTCTAGGAATTATTGCAGGCTGTGACACTATGTAGGGCCTACCAGGCAGTAATCGCCTCCCATTCAAATCGAAATGCCCCTCCACCCTTTGATCTCAAATATTCCTTATCAGATATTCGTGTTCATACACACAACAACAGGGAAGGAAGATTCTAAACCTTATACCTCAACCCGAATGTGTCCCAATGATTAGTCACCCGAAGCCCTGAACCCTAGACCCCGAACCCGGAATCCCAAACCCTAAACCTTAAACCCAAAATAGTAGCTTCCATTTCATTTTCCATTATCCCAATATAACCCTAATCTACTATAGTAGCCTCCGTTTTCGTTTCCATTGTCCCAAGATGACCCCTATGTATACATATAGAAGCCTAAACCAGGAGGCAGCACCTGGCCCCCTCGATGTCTTACGGCGAAGGCGCTGGTCGAGGACTTTTGTCTTTCATTCATAAATTCGGGGTGTACATATACACCCCAACCGCAACATTGTGCTTAGGTGCACATGTCCAAGAGAGCCATGCTACCATCGCCATTGTTTCAAACACTATTTGGCTGTCCTTAGCATTGTAACCAGATTTCTTGATCATGATTGCGCCAAGATTTACAGGAAGCTGGCGAAATCAACCACCATGCTGCAGAAACACACGTGTTGGCCTTAATCTGCGCGGGCGCCATAGAAATCAATCTGCAAGTTCCACAGACAGAATCCTCTGTGTGTTCAGGTATCCCAAACCCCAAATCCTAAGCCCTAAACTACAACTGCCAGCATACGCAACAGAGCCCCATCTGTTCCACGCATCGATTTGATAGGCGGTTTAGGGTTAAGGGATTGGCAGGATCCTGAGCCCTCCCTGAGCTCTGATACATGCCCTAAGGTTAAGGGTTTATTTAAACCCTAAATCCTAACTTACTCACTTAGCCAATAGAAGAACTTAAACCTTTTTGAGCTTCCTTTTTGGGCTTCTACAAAATAGTTTAAACTTGTTTGCCCTGGTGATTGGGGAAGAGAGCTCAGTTTCATTGGGGGCTGAAGTTATCATAAACCTCAAGACCTAAAACCTAAACGCCAGTGTTTGTCATTATGCTTTTTCAGGGGATGTTAACCGCTTGCCCCCGCCAGCCAATGATAAAGCTTGCAAAACGAAAAGGAAAATATGTACGGGGGTGTTTGCTTCCAGTTTGGTTCCACAGAGAAGCGAGTAGCCATTGATATTAGGGTGACTCCATGTTTTTCTGAGTCTTCTCATATACTCCTCCTCGATCAGTCCTGGATACACGACTTCTTGCAGCCATTCGGATGTGAGTCATGAAGAAACCCTAAAACCTCTAAACCCTACACCCCTAAACCCCTAAACCCCTAAACCCTAAACCCCTAAACCCTACACCCCCGTATCAGGACCTTTACCTGAAGACCTCAAGTCATGAAGGGCTTGGGGCCTGCCCCTTACGGCCTGCAGACGCCTGGGAGGATCTCCAAAACTTTCGGGTTGAGGAGTTCAGGGTTACGTAAGGGTTTAGGCTTCAGGGGTTTAGGGTTCAGGGTTTAGGGTTAGGGTGTAGGGGTTTAGGGTTCAGGGGTTTTTGGTGTACGGTTTACGGTTTGGGGTGGTGGGACCTAGGAACTACTTCGAACTGGGCTCAGAACCTGAATTCTGTTTGGGATAACCTCCATAAGTCCAGTAAGGGGGATTATAAGTAGGATGACAAGCCCCTGTATAAGTAGTTACTAAGTCCAGAGAGCCTTCAAGTAGGATTTAGGATTCGCAGAGTGAGGGGCTCAAGCCTATCTAAGCCAACGTTCCCCAAAAAGAACAAGACGAACGTTGGCCAAACAAGAATGCTATACGTCCTAGACAGATGGTTGTCCTCAGAATCTCGCCGATGGGTTGTTCAAGGGTTTAGGGCTTAAGGGCTTAAGGCTTGGGGTGGAAGGCGTTTATGGTTTAAGGTTTGCAGGGTTCACGGTTTAAGGGCATAAGGTAAAAATCTCGTAGCGTTAGAGCAGCTTGTTTTCTGGATCATTGCTGTCAAGTGCCAGGACAGCCGCAGGCGTCTACGGCGACTGCGCGCATCTTTGGAACATCCTCGCCTTGCAGACGGGATCAGCACGGAGCAGGGCGTTGCAAATAGCAGGTACACTTGGACTTACCTCTTTGCACCTGGAACCCAGACCTACAAGTGTTGCGCATGGAGGACTTCAAGTGCATGCTGAAGGCTGATGGCCTTGCATAGCCATGGGATTTTGTCGACCCTGTACTGACGGAAATCCAAATGTTCTGGCCTTTGCGGGTCCTGCGGGTCGGCTGTGGGAAGGCAGAGCCAGTGCGTAACAGTGGCTGTTCTGCATGCCCTTGAGATATCATTCAGCGTATGGGAGCGGACTTCTGGGCACTGCGTCATGTTACTACAGCTTTCATTGTGAAAGTGCAAGGGGAGTACGGTGGAGGAAGTGGAAAGATGCGGAACTCGGTGCACTGAGGCGGCCGAGCATTCTCCAAGCGTATTCTTGCTGCTTGCTTGTTGTTAGTAGGGAATGGAGGAATGGAAAAGAACAACGGAACTACCGTATTGTTATTGGTCATGCAGCGGCTACTCTAGATATCCATTCCTCCTTTCTCTACTCATAGCCAGTAAGCATTGGATTTCTTGCCACTAGTGAGTTGATGTGGAGAAGCACACGTTGGACAGGGTACATTGCTGCCGCTGCGTGCATAGCATGGATTTGAAAACAAGAGATCAGCCAGAACTGAAAAGTGGAGCGTCGCCAAGACTGTGTGGAGAGGATATCTACTTCAGTAAACCTATCCATATTATGACAGCCTCACCCAAGCCAGAAAATAGGAACATGGTCTTGCCACAGGGGTTGCTGAAGATACGTACCATCAGCAAACACAGGTATAGAGATATACATATATGCAGATGAATCTTATGCAATTGGGTTGTCAAGCGTGTAGGGGGCGGGGGGGGGGGCTTTAAAGAAGGTGTAAAAAGCGACGTACTTCCAGCAGCCGTTCCCGTGAGGTTATGGGTCTCCTAACAGTGCTGCGTAGGACCCTGTTCTGTTTGGGGAGTGGGAATTAAGTTCTGTGAATAGCAGGATAGCGGGCAGGCTCCCATTGAATTGGGACCCTTTTCGGCAATGGAATGAACGCCCTAACGCCAAAATCTGTCAGCCTTGGTAAGCAGAGTTAACATCTGCTTGGCCTTACAAACGCCGCGCGGTACCAGTAGTTTCCATGCCCTTGGCATTTTGCTGGGAAAATAAGCTGCTTACGTAACAAAATGCATGTATGTATGTATGTATGTATGTAGGTAGGTAACAGGTTAAATTAGAACGGATTTAAAATTCTAAGATACATGCACAACATAAACAAGTGTTGTGATAGCTTACATTGCCACCGTACCGCTTCGGCTCCTTTCAGCTTCCGCAGTTGTCCTCGGCTTGCACCGGCTGGGAAGATTCGGTGCCTTCTTTATCATGCCAGCGCTGGTGCCCCATGAGGCCAGCAGTAGTGAAGTGGAAGGGTTACTGGTGGAGGACTTGAGCCCTGGTCCAAAGTCGACCAAGATGCCAGGTACCCCATAGTACACTTTTTTTCTTTTGTATTTTGGGGTCTCCCTATTTGGAAAGAAGATACCCCCTATTATAAGGGTATTAAGAGGTTGTTGGGGAACCTAGGATGAAAGTCGCATGCATCACCTTCTTTGCTGCCTGCTTGGTGACCTGGCTGTGTAAGCAACCGTGGGCTGAATCCACAGCTTCCGCGAAGGCAGCCAGGTCAAAGAATAGATGGAACCCTTAAAATGTATAACCCTAGTGTCCATTTCAGTGTCCACATGATTTTCCCTTGGATCCTCCATTAGTGGGGTAATATCTCTAAGCCCTAAACCCCGAACCCTAGACCCCAACATCACCCCTTAGGACCTTAGACCCTCTGGCTCTGCGACACAGCCAGAGCAAGCCTCCCACAAAGACGACGAGACTGGGTTGTTGTTACGGAACTAAAGTTCAGTTGCTATGAAGGAGTTAGGGTTTAGGGTTTAGTTACTATAGTACTACAGTAATACTAGTAATAATAACAACAAGGAAACCTTGTTACCTAGCATGTTATGGTAACTTAACTTAAGTTCCGCTATAGCCGCAACTCAAATCCTAAATGCTCTTCCCCTAAGTACCCTATAGATCCGTATCCCCATATACCCGATATACCTCTAGACCCTAAACCCTAAACTCCTAAAGCCCTAATCCATCAATTCTTAAAACCCTAAACCCAACAACCCAAACCCTAAACCTTAAAATCCCTAAAATCCCAAAAGCCCTTAAAGCCCGAAAATCCTAAACCCCTAAAACCCAGGAGAGCGACCTATTTGGCCTGCAACCTAGCCTTGGACCTGTCATGAACCTCAGCTCTTAGTAGGGTTACTGGGGGTTTCTAGGCTTACTATAGGGTTTAGGGTTTAGGGTTTTGGTTTAGGCTCAGGTTTATGGGGGCTTATTTTGATGTTTATAGGGTTTCTAGGTTTTAGGCTCAGGTTTATGGGAGCTTATTTTGGTGTTTCTAGGGTTTCTGGATAGGGTTTACTATAGGGTTTATAGGGTTTACAGGGTTCAAAGGGTTTATATGGTTTATAGGGCTTAGGGTTTGGGATTGAGGGTTTTGGGTCACAGGGGGGTGGGGGACTTCGTAAGTAAGCTAAACATTGGGACAATTATGGTTACTATATGGGTTATAGGGGTCACTAAGCTACTTACTGAGCCCCTCTGACCTCGAAGTAGTTGCTTCTATTTTTAGTAGTAGCAAAGCAGTTGTGTCAAAGAACTACGAAGGCGTTGCGCTTTTTCCGTTCTATTTCATGCTAGTCTGCAGGGGACTTCAGGAATGGCATGGGTGGCATGATGGCGAATGCCATGGACTGTATGGAGAAGGAGGTCCAGGTGTGTTGCCAGGATGGCACCTTCCGCACGTCAACGTGCGTTCCACTTTGGTATTGCCATGTTGCCATAGGCAAGCGAGACTTCGGCCCAGTTCCGCCTTGCGGTGCCGCTCCCAAATCCGGTGACGCCAGCAAGTGCCAGCAAAGTGATGGCCAAATCCGCAAGAGCATGGAGATGGCAAAGTCGATGTGCTTTGATAAAATCAAAGAGCTCTACGACTTGCAAGGCAAGCTGGGTCAGTGCGTGGCGGACGTCAGCAGTGAGAAGCAAAAATTGCAAAGCACGCGCCAGGGTCTGACAAACACCCAGCACAGGGCAGAAGACTGCGAGAAGCGGGAGGCACAGGCAAAGGCCCAGAAATCCTTGGGTCTTGGTGGAGCCAGTGGAAGTACTTTCTGTCCGGCAAGGTCTGCCGAGTTGTCTGGTGCCTCCTCTCAGTTTGCTTTAGCCATGGATAAGTGCATCGGTGTCGAATTTGCAGCTGCAGTGCGCATCCCGACCATCGACATTGAGGAGCGGGGTATCAGGGCTCGCAATATCGGGATACCTTCAGCGATGTAGGGAATTGTAGGGATTACAAAGGGTCACAGGGGCAAATGAAAACATTGAATTCACGCACGCTTATGAGAGAGCTTTTCTAGACGAATTCCATGCTCAGACAAGTCCATTTAAATCGCCATTACCTGAAATGCTGTAAATCAAAGCATTTGCTGTTCTTGGAACATTTAGAATGCTGTGAATTACTTGCTGGTCTTGGATCATTTAGAAAGCTGTGAATTGCAGCATCTGATGGTCCTGGAGCGCTTCGCACGCTGTAAATTGTAGCATTTGCTGGTCTGGGCACGCTTCACATACCGTAAGTTGCAGTATTTGCTGGTCTTGGAATGAATCAAACGCTGTAAATGACGGCCTCTGCTGGCTTTGGAAAGCTTTATACGCTGGAATTTACACTGCGTGCCGGTCTTGCAACATTCCACTCCTTCAACTAGTTCCTTTGCCAACTAGGACAAATAGCACTATGACTTGCATGTTTCTTTTTGTCATTTTTTAACTAGTTATTAGCATTATTCACTTTCACTGGCTATTTGGGTGTTCAGGCTAGGGATGATATTGGATCAGTTAGCGGGCTTTCTGGTTTTGATAGGTATCTGTTTCGGGACGCTCTTTTTTTTTGCAAACTCCCCGGCAGCTCGTAGCGCTGCACCCACTTTGCAAGCCAAACCCTGGCCCTCTTTGAGGGTTTAGGGTCTGGGCAGACCTGACCCCCACCCAGTAAGGACTCAGAAGGACTATATTAGGGTCCTCATATATACCTACTATACCACTAATACAGGGTGGGGATATTTTTGCCGATGGATGGGACTCAAAGGTCCTTGGATAGCAAGGCTCACTCCAGCTCAAACCCTTGGCCCCAAGAACGTCTCATTTGGCTGATGTAAACAATCCCCATTGAATGACGAACGAGGGCCGCCACAGCCCCTAGAAGCCTCTGAGTGGAGGGTACAAGGTCCGACGTCTTCGCCTATACTAAACATGCCGGGTTTTCATAAGGCGCGGGCCCCGGTATAGACCTCAATCGACTTTAATGCCTAGCATCGGGACTTCCAAAAAGAGGCCCAGACAATTTTGGAAAAGTCCCAAACAGGTTTCAATGCTGCAGCCTCAAGCATCATGGCGACACAGGGCCTATACCTTGAACTCTAAGCCCTAAATCCTAAATCCTCTATTACAGTGGCTTCTTGCAAGCCCTGTAATTGCTTGCTGCAGTAGGGAATGAAGGAATGGACAAGAGAATGGAGACGATCCTGCTTGGTGGGTTTAGGGTGCTGTAGGGATCCATTCCTCCGTTCCTTACTTACAACAAGCACGTTTACGCCCTGCACCCTACACCGTTGCTGAGGCAGATTCGTTCTGGCAGTGTGTAACATACCAGCCTGAGCAAAACTTGTAGCTCCTATAAGCTGGGAGACCCAAATATGGACAAACAGAATAGCGTAAGCCTTGTAGGGGCCCCCAGAAAGGATTTCTGATGTCCAGAAACTCGCAAGTACTGCGTTTCATGCATTTTGTGGTTGTCTAGGCTTGTCAGCTAATGTCCAGCGGCAGGTGCCCGAGATCAAGGTGGGAGCAATCGGCACTGGCTCCTTTCAGCTGCAAACGCCGGACTTCGGTGCACCGGGCTTCCAAGGAGACATTGTTGTGCCCGGTGGTGGAGGCAAGCTGAATGTTGCGCCACATAGTGCAGCAGGTCCTGGCGGTGCAAAAGGTCCAGCACCAGGCTCCTGGCTAAATCCATCAGTCTTAAGTCAAAGGGTTCAGGCTTTTAGGGTTGAGGGTTTGAGGTTTCAGGCTTCAAGGTGATTGGGGGTTCAGCGCTTTGGTTATCCCCAATCCCTGGACGTAAGCAGGTAAGAGGCTGTCCTTGATCCAGCGCGTTGCCAACATCAAAGCAGACATCAAAGAGTGCGAGGATGCGAAGCCAAAGGTGATGGCGAAGAAGGATGAGCTTGCTGCCACGAAGGACAGTACGCGGTTCAGAAAAAATGGTTCAACGCCCTGAAGCTGAGATGGTTGCATGTCTAGAAGAACTGAACTGTTCCCAAAGCTGGGGTACTGCCCCCACCTTGTAACAGTTGAACAATATAAACAATGTGATCATTTATTTATAGCCCTTAACATGACCCCTAAGATAGACTGTTATAGTGTGGGGCCAGTACCCAACCCAAAGCAGCAGTATGACACCCTAAACCCTACATACTACATCTTAAGCCTTACACCCTAAACCCAGGACACCGTCTTGAAGCAGAAGCAGAAGGCCTGTGAAGAGCTTGGACCTCAGAGGCTACGTCTCCTGCAGCCTGCAACGGCTCAGACGGCCATCCAGCACCACGGCTTGTAAGGACACGCGGTATAGGGTTTAGGGTTCAGCTAAACCCTAAACCCTAAAACCTAACCCCTAAACCCTAAAACCTAAAACCTAAACCCTAAACCCTAAACCCTAAACCCTGAGGTGTTGCCGGCTTAGGCGGGGTCAGGGTCGAGGGTGCCTGTGTTGAGGTGTCGCAGGTTGAGGCGTGTTTAGGGTCTAGGGTGCTGTCAATTAGAATATGGTATCAAAATTATGGTCCTTTTTTGGGTACTCTAAATATTAGGCATATTGGGTTTTATAGAGGTTCTATGGAAAAATGGAAACTACTATATTATATTAGGGTATGTATTGGGGTTATAGTCCCCCTAAAGGAAGTGCTGATGACATGAATGGTTTTGTTTAAGAGCGGGGTTTGTCGAGCTTCCGTTTTGATGGCCCTCGAGACCTTTGCTTTCGCAGGACTTTGCATTCTCTTACTTGTCCACGGGGTGATCTTTAGCATCTTTGGGTTTAGGGTTTAGGGTTCAATGCAAACCCCAGGTCACTGAAAGGTTAAATTAAGAAAAGCTCTGGACACTCGACACCTAAGTTCTTGCTGATGCTCTGCTCTAAACCCTAAATCCTAAACCCCACCCCCTAAACCATTTGCCATAGCAGCTTGAAACTCTTGTGTTGAGAAATGTCATATGCAACAAGAACCGCGACGATCAGCAGCCACCATCATCGTTACGTCATCTCGGTCGGAAGAACATGGAAGAACTTCAGAACTAGCAGCAAAAGGAAATATCCTGGAAAAGGTGCCCTGAAACCCTAAGGGTTTAGGGTTTAGGTCTAAAACCCTTAGGGTTATGAAAATTGAAAATGAACCCCAGGTTCTTCAGCGTGATGAAGATGGCCTGGAATTGCCCAGATGTAGAAGAAGCAATCGACGGAATCACCGCGCTTTTGGAGTTTTGCTGAGATCCGTGCTACACGCATCCAGGGTTTTGGGTCTAGGGTTTAGGGTACATCCGCAGGTGTCGCAGATCCCAGCACGCTGGTTATCTAGTCAAAATGATGATAGTGGTAGGTAATAATACTTACACTCTTAGGAATACCATCTCTACTCGGAATCCTGATAGTTCATCGTGCGTTGGGGAATCCTAAATCCTGTATATCCTAAACCCAAATCACGAAACCCTAAGCCCAAGACCCTCAAGGATTATGACTGCTGTCCCCAAAGTCCCGGGACTGCACAATCTACAAAGATGGCGCGTGCGTTAAATTGATTGAAAAATTACGTCAATTTATCATTCTCATTATCTGCCAATCTCAATGCAGAAATTGAGATAATTCACGGACAAAAGATTGATTATCATATATGTATATATATATATATAGATATAATGGTTAGAATTGATTCTGAGTTATTTTCGGAATATACTTATTGAATATACGATTATATATATATATGATAATTTCAGAATGTATTATAAGAATCATAGATCATATTCATCATTAAATAGGACAAGAGAATTAATATATAATGATTCTACGAGACTTCTCTGACAATTTAGGATATGAAATATTGAAGAATCTTTGGATTAAATATACGATTTTTTATATTAAATGATTCTGATTTTTATAAGAGATTATATCGATATAATCGATTGATAATATTCGATGAAATTAGATATATCATTTGATATATCGAAATTCGGAAATGAATATATTGATAAATTCAAAGATTATAATACGAAGAATTATTGATTAATATTAATAAGAATATATATAACTTATACTATAATTCTTGAAGAAGATTTTTAGATTTTAATTCATTTGTGTAAAATATTCAATTTATTTAATTTATTTAAATAGACTCTGGACGGCAGCCTAGGACCCCGGATTTAATTTATTTGATTTATTTAATTTCTCTAGAAAAGGCCGGAGAAATTAAATAAATTTCGTTCGATTCAATTATTAATTATTATATATTTTCTTGAGAAATTTTCTTATATGAGCTATAATTAATATTTGGTAAAGAATTTTATATGCGGGGATATATCGAGCAACAATATTGCAAAGCGATGAGATTATCTGAAAAGCGATACTCTAAATTTTCAGCAAGTAATGAAATTGTCGTAAGCGTATATTGGGGCGCTTCGTTATTAGGATATCGTTCTATGGGTCAAGAAAATTTGCAAATCATATTGGCAACAGAGCCACGCCAAAAGTCCCATCCTGAGCGATACCTAAATTTGCCTCAACAAGGCTCTTACACGTTCTCTATTCTAACAACAATAGTAGGATGCCGCGAAACAATAGGGAGAAGAAGGACACCTGCTCTCCAGGATTCCTCCAGAAATTCGTTATAGAATCCGTGCCTTCAAGCCCAAACTAAATTTTCCCAAGGCCCGTGTAGGAAGGCTATTCTCATAATGGCTGTTGGGAGCCAGCAGCACGAAACATGACCTCCAAATTTCTACAAGCACAATTTGGGTACAAAACCCATGCAAAGCGATGGGATTACCTGAAAAGCGATACCACCAACTTGGCGTCCATTTGTAGCTCATATGAAAATTGATTTCGATTATATTTTAATATTTTGATTAGGATGAAGAAATTATTTGGTATTTCGAAAATATCGGACCAAATTATTTATATATATATATTTGATATTTTTTGGTCTATTGAATATTGAAATAAAATAGCTGAATATAGATATTAGACTATTCCATTTAATCGTATGATATAAGAAATCAGAAAAATATATTTAGTTTGATAGATATTATCGAAAATTAAAAAAGATTTCTTGAATAAAATTGGGATGAATCGATCTCTCTTAGAAATAAATTTGATTCTATTTATCTTATATCATTTGAATTCGTAGATAATGATATAAATATATAAAAATTAATAGATAATATTCATATATTTAATTTATAGATTCTAGAATCTATAGAAATCTATTGATTAGATATATGAATAATAAATTTTCATTTTTTGACAAGATTTAGATAGATTTTTCTTTTTTTGATAAGATTTAGATAGATTTTCTAAAAGATTATTAATTTCAATTAAAGATATTATAGAAATTGAAATTATAATTTGAAGATTATTTCTTAAATCTTTGAGCTTTTGAAAGAATTGAAAATTTGATAAGTATTTATTTGAAGAGCTATAGAATATTTTTATTAATATTTCTTTCAAATCAAAAAATGATAATAATTCTTATAGAATATATTGATTTCATTATTCGAATTTTCTAATTTAGAAATTGAATGAGATTAAGATTTATGGTCTTCTCTCTTCTATATTCATTATCTTTATTCATTATTTTTTTCTATTTATTTATATATCAATTTATATACCGATCAATTATAGAGAGAGAGAAATAATTCGAAATTTGAGCAGATTCTTGGTCGTATGACTCCCCATATCCGGTCCAATCTTTTCATTTCATCTATCTCTCACGCATAAACCTATATAGATATATACGATCGATCGATAAATTCAGAAAGATTTTATTCTCTTTCGCGTATCTTTCTGCCCTGCCGAATAATAATATGAATAAATGAAGAGAGATAAATCTTATCGAAGATCGTTTCGGAAGATTTTGGATATCTATCCGGCATCTACAAGTTCCGCTGAATCGCCGACAGAGAGAGAGAAATAATTCAAAATTTCAAGAGATTTTTGGTCGTGCGATCCCCGCATCTAAATCAATCTTTCTATTTTATTTCGATCTCTTGGACTATCTGCGCGGCGGTTCGGGGGAACGCATAAATTTTCGAGGATAGATATCATTTTTCGATAGATTCTGAAAGATTTTGATTTTCTATCCCGAATTTTTATCCGAATATCAATATAAGTTAAGAGAGATAAATCACGCGAGAAATCGCTCCGGAGGCAAGGTCCGCACGACCAAAAATCTCCGAGATTCTTGGTCGCGTCGCCTGTCCCAAAACTAGAAATTTTTGGAATCTCCATTTTCCGAAGGGCTCTGAAATCTCCGAGATTTTAGAGTCCCTAGGGACCCTGCAAGAGGCGTTTTAGAGGAGAGCCGGAGAAATTAGGTCGCGCGCGAACGAAATGATCGCGCCATATTATTGAGGAATTCTCTTCTTCTTTACATATATATAGATATATCAAATATTCATTCTATAAATTTATTTGAAAGCCGATTTGAAAATACGAATTGAGATATGATTTATTCATATCAAATGATATATGATATATTAATATTCATGATCATTTCCTTCATAATTCAAAATGATTTTTGAATGATTTGAATAATATTGATATTATATTAATAAAGGAGGCGATAATAACATTGAGTTGTCGGACCGGAAAAATCTCGTATAATCAAATTTGCTTTCTAATAAGCTTTTAGCCCAACAAGGTCTGCCTAAGCCCAAATCGTAATAATAGATAGAAGACAATAATATTATTCTGCAGCCCAAAATTTCCTAATTTTAGGGTTCTAAAGCCTAAATCTCCATTAGAAGCCCTAAGGTATTAAAGCTTCCA